GAGATAGGGCAACTCAACTTTGAAAGCCCCAGGGGCCACACTGATACTTACAGAACATGCTGAGGGCCTCAACTTAAGTGTGGTTGCATATGCAAGCGAATATATACAAATAGCTTCTCTCACACTGACAGGCATGAATACAAAGATTAAGGCAAGACTACACAACACGCTGGCCCCATTTAAGTCAGTTCTGCTGATATTAATAAAATGCAATATTTACCCGATTTCTACCCATGTGACAGCACTTTTCATGAGCAATGACAGTCCAAGAATGTAACTACTAAAACACATATCAACAGAAGATCATTACACTGACTACTTTTTTGTTTTGGCTCCCACTCACTGGCCACGTGTTGATCCCCACATAAAACCAAACTGCACCGCGGGGTGCAAACAAACTGGCCATAGGCAACATACCAAGTTATTAATAAATATTTTATAAACCTTTACCTTTTCTCTCTGCTGCCATGTCTCCTCTCCTTGCTCCATTAGCTTCCCCTGGTGCCTGCTGCCCCCCAACTCCTCACCCTCCTCTGCAGTCATGACTCCTTCCCTTCACATTGCTCTCAGCCCTCCCACGACCTGTCCCCCTTCACCAGCCCTTCTCTGCCCCCTGTGCCCACTCCTCCAGTAGCCCCACTCTGATCATGTGAGCTACCCCTCCTCATCTCCTCTACTAACACCTCCCTCTAAACACCTGCCCTGCCTCTCTCCTCTGGTGCTGGTCCCTCCCCTGCAGGTGTCTGACCTTCTGCTTCACTCCCATAATCCCCTGGCACCTGCACCTTTCCTTAGCCCTGCACCCTCCTTGTGCCTCCCCCTTCCCTCACTGCCCCTGCCTCCTTTGCCCTCTTTTTCCCTGATGCGACCCCCTCACCACCCTCTGCCCCATTCCCCTCATGCCTCTCTGTGCCCTCACACATGACTTGCTCATGCCCATCCCTCCTTTCAAGCCTTTTCCCAGCATCTTCCCCTCCCCCCTCTAGATCCCAATGCCCTTACCCTCTCCTCTCCCAGCATCACCCTGTCCCCTCTCCCACTGATACCTCCCCTCCTGCCCTTTTCCTCATTGTCTGCACTTGGCCCCCTGGCATTTGTCTCTCCTCCACCCCTGTCCCTTGGTGTCTTCCCCTCCCACCCCCTCCCGCTCCGCAAAAGCCCCTTCCTCTCCCACCCTCTTCCTCTCTCCTCCGCTCAAGCCCCTTCCTCTACCACCTCCCGCCCCTCCTTCGCTACACCTCTGTATGTCCACCATGTTTCTGAAGTGTTCGGACAGCTGTCTACAGGTACACACCCCAGTTCTCCATGACACTTAAATTTAGTTCTGTCATAGATGATTAATTCTTCATTTGAGTTTCACGGTGACTTGTTCTGTGTAAGACCTTTCTATAAAGGTGTCTTTCTTGGTTACTATTGCTTGACCAAAAGAGCAAGGGAATTGCTAACCTTACTATCAGAACCTCCTTATATGATCTTCTTTCGAGACAAGATTCAACTTCAGCCTCACCTAAGTTCCCAACTAAAATAGTTTCCATTTTCCACATTAATGAAGCAATTTACTTCCTTACTTTTTTCAAAAGCTTCATTCAGCTAAAAGTAAAGTTTTACTCTCTTGATGTTATGAGAGCTTTAAGCTATTATCCTGGATTGAGCTAGGCCATGTAAGTCTTTCTCACAACTGTTCATTGTGGTTTCCTACAGAATAAAGGGCCACCCAGTCTCCAATCAAAGGATTTCTTCCCGGTTTTCTAGCTGTCTATGGGTATGTCTACACTACCCTCCTAGTTCGAACTAGCGGGGTAATGTAGGCATACCGCACTTGCTAATGAAGCCCGGGATTTGAATTTCCCAGGCTTCAAATGTTTTTTTCAGATGATTGCTCATGTCCACTCCACTCTAGGTGACTCACAAGCAGTTTGAACTGGGAGAGGACTAGGAGTTCACTTAAACAGGGATAGTAGAACCACCCCTCAATATGACATCATCTCTAGATTGATGAGAGACAGTAAAGCGAGAGAGAAGAATATGTACTGATGACCAGGGTGCTGCTTTATAAATGTCCAGCCTGGATATGTGAGCCAGAAATGTTGTGGAAGCTGCCCGTGATCTGGTTGAATGAGCCAACAGCTCTACTTGGGGAGTAATACCAACCAATTGGTAACATAGGGTATGTCTACACTACCCCGCTAGTTCGAACTAGCGGGGTAGTGTAGACATACCCTATGTTACCAATTGGTTGGTATTACTCCCCAAGTAGAGCTGTTGGCTCATTCAACCAGATCACGGGCAGCTTCCACAACATTTCTGGCTCACATATCCAGGCTGGACATTTATAAAGCAGCACCCTGGTCATCAGTACATATTCTTCTCTCTCGCTTTACTGTCTCTCATCAATCTAGAGATGATGTCATATTGAGGGGTGGTTCTACTATCCCTGTTTAAGTGAACTCCTAGTCCTCTCCCAGTTCAAACTGCTTGTGAGTCACCTAGAGTGGAGTGGACATGAGCAATCATCTGAAAAAAACATTACTAACCCTCCCTTCATCCCGTCTGTATCAGAGCCTTTCTGGTAATCAGGAGGCAAGGGGATATGGGGATACTTCTGCCCTTTATACATAAGTGCAGCTATGGGAGGCCAAAGGCCATGCCAGATACTGCTGAGGGAAAAATCTCTGACAACTCCAGACAAGGTGCTCACATTTCTAGAGTGTAATGGACATATCCAACACATCTCAGAGAACGTTAGAAATAGTTTCCTTCAGATTCATAACAGATTTACAAAACAAAAATAATTGCAATCCAGATGCTATGTTTTTTGCCTGCTTAGGGATTTTAGTTAGCCATGTACTAACAGCTGCAAACACATATTAGGCAATTCACTTTCACTACAACTCCCCAGTTTCTCTTAAAGCACGCCAAATTAAATGTTCAACATGTTGAGGTTTTGTCTTCTAGAAATTCACATTTTATATGTAGGAAAATTAACCATGTTTAAGCACTAGGAAACAGCCCACATCCCGGGGGGACATAATCTTATGGACTAGTTAATTTACAAGGTTTTGAAAGTACCACTGCATATTGGTGATTTGTGTGAGAGAGTGGTATTTCTAGACACAGGGGAGAACTGGGTTGGAACTCCTTCTTGCAATGACCCTGACCTTGCTGTCCTAAACACCGGGCAGAACTGTCTTACAATGACAGCTACTACTCTGGCTCCCAACTTTATCTCCTCCCTCTGCTTAGAAAATTGCAAGGAAAGAGAGATTAGCATGTTCAAGCAAAGTGGACATGGTGTTACTGGCATATGTAGTACTTATACATGGTATAACCTTCTTCTCCTGAGCTCCTCTATAAGGCACCAATACTGTCTGCATCTGAGTACCATGATTGCCATGCTGTCAACAGTGAATCAAGTTCACTTGTATATAAATGGACTGTTGTTCCTTTTTCTCTGGCTTGTACTTATTTGTCATTGGGAGCTTCTCAGAACAGGGGTCATTTTGTAGTTTTTGGACAGTTTTTACAACTTAGTGAATGCTAGTGCAAATGCAGAATAATGTTATGGGATCCTTTAAATCTTTGTTATGCATTAAGAATAACCACCATATTTAATTCAGGATAAATGTGACAAAACCATTGTAAAGAAAAGATGGAAGCAAAGAGTAACACCAGGACACACAAAATCTTGAGCAGAATCTTGAGTCCTCAGCTGATCCCCAGCGCTGCCACTTTGAAGTACCCCTCTTCTTCTCCCCCACTTGCTACCTCTATCAGATAGAGACTGCAAAGGAGGGGTGGGAAGCGACTAAACTATCCTATCGACTAGTCCTTAACATCCCTAGTTTGGATTGGTGGAAGTATGTGTGTTTGAGGGGAGAAGGAGCCAGGAAAACAGTAAAAGAAATGATGGTGCTTTGGCCCTGAAGGAGAGTTGTCTGGAAAGGCAGGTTTTGGGACAGCAAGCAAATAAACTGTCTTTTGCTGTTTGATTCCCATCACGTTCAGGGAAACAGGACATTATGGAAAATCTTTGTAAATAAAGAACATTGCGTAAAAAAGAACTCGCATGCTAAGTTTCTTCTCCTAATTGGAACAACCCACAAGAATGAACTTTCACCTATCTGCTCAGGTCAAAACAAGCAGCAAAAACAATAGAACTAAAAGCATCTTTGAAGTTGAGGGCAGAATGGCTGCTGAAAAAGAAATCTATATATTTAAATATTAAAAAACTTTAATTTATCAATGGTAATGCTTAAATTCTAGGATAAAATTACAGGAAGCTAGCCTTTCCCCAAAGTAGAGTTATTTGATTAAGCATTTGGATATATCCTGTATTTGTCATCCTCTGCAAGCAAAGTTACATCTACCCATTTCTGTTCTGCCCCTGCTCTCCATTCCTCTGATAAAGATAATTGACTTCAGTACATATAGTCACCAAAACAGAAATACTCTCTTCTCTTCATAATGCTGTTCCAAACAACTTTAAGTGTTGAATACTATATGCCAAAACAATCTTGTAACTTAGTATTTGAATTCATTCTGAATTTTTTTTCTTGACACTCTTCAGTAATTATTAGTTGAATTGTTCCTGAGTTAGTTTTGTGCAATATCAAAGCAGTTCACTTTCCATGAATTACCAAGGAATGTATCCAGAATTATGCCACTTTTTGCTAAAAACTTCTCTCTCTTTTTTTTTTAACAGGAGCTCCAGTTCACAAGGTTGAGGTAAAATACTAATTTCATTACTAGATTAATACTAAGTAGACTACTTGTAAAAAACAAAATACTGTAGTACTTTCCAAGTATACAATATTTGTTGATAAGTTACTGAATGAAGAATTCTTTTCTTTAAAACTGGACAAAAACTTGGATTCTTTATCTGTTTATGAATTCTGAAAACATGGGTCTCTAACTATTAGCAGTATTTCATTTTATCTCTGCCACTTACTCAGACTGAGACATTGGGAAGGATTTCAAAAGTGGTTTCCAATTTTAGATAGCTCTGTTTTGATTGCTCACCTTCAGGCACTGTAAACTTGGTTTTCTAGTAGTATTGAACACCTACAACTTCAGATAATGGCAAAGCCTCTGCCTCCCGCAGCTTATTCCGGAAAAGTGGCTGATTTTCCGGAATAAGTGGCCCAGTGTAGACACAGCCTCCCTATATCATAAATATGTTATGTGGATTAATAAACTTAATGTTTTTAAAGTACTTGAAGGTCTTTCAATAGAAGATACTGTTACTAATACAAAGTATTCATCTAATTTATGTTATCATGCTGGGTCTACTAATGGCACTTTTATGCTATTTTGCCTATAATTCCAATATGTCAAAGAGTTCCACAAATTTGATTTTAGCCATCTTCACAACACCTCTGTCGGGTAGGCAAATACTATGCCCATTTTATATTAGTACAATAGTCTCCATTCTACCAGAAGAGCGGAATATATAATTTACTTAACCTTGTGTTCGACACTTATTTGCAGTTCCATGTGTCTTTCTCAAGACCATAGAAAATTACCTTGCCAGCAGAAAGTATAACATTATTATTAGTGGAACTAGTATTTTTGTAGTGCCTCGAGTTTCTGATTCTGTATCAGAGCCCCACTGTGCTAGGCGCTGTACAGACACATAACAGGGATGTTTTCTGCCATGTGTTACTTAAAATAACAATTCTTTCCTGTCAGTGTCTTCATGTGTAAGCATATAGAACAGGAAAATATGAGGTACCCAAAGTAATTTAATATGTGACCATCTGTGATTCAGATCCATGCATATCTAGTATATAGTTCTCTATGATTAAGACTGTCTAGTGATTACTATGTATAGTTGGCATCCTTCCATCGTGGCAAGAATTAATTTCTTTCAGACTTCACCTATCAATATTTCAACTGAACAAAACTTTCTTACGGAATAAACAAAAGGATTTGAAGTATGCAGTTAATTGTGAAATATATTGCCATATAATGTTTGTTTGTCTTTTATAGTAAATTTGGGATGTATCCCAAGCCTACAGAAGTCAATGAGAGTCTCTTTGATTTCATTGGCCTTTGGACCAAGCAATTTCTGTTCAGTAAGAAAATTTAGAGTATGTATGCCCAAGTGCAAAAAAAGAAAGAGACCATAAGTGAATCTTGTTACCTGTCCTTGCCATCAGCCAAGGAATAAACCCGGACAAAGGGTGAACTTGAGCAGAACTGAAGCTTGTTTATTAGTACAGATTCTTAATGCTATGGAAGTACTCATACACCTATCACATTCGTGATGGTAGTTTGGAGGCAGGCTTCAGGCAGCAACAGTTAGTTTTGATTTTGCAGATGACTGAAATTGGCCAGGTGATAGCCCTCTGGAGATTCGGCGATGAGAGTTCCCTGGGTCCCTTTGGATTCACAGGAGTGCTCTACTGCTTCTGGTCCATTCCTGGACTTGGCCTCCTTTTACATCTTGTCCAAGAGAACCCCACCTGGTTGTCTGTCACATCCATTAAGCACTTTGCAGAATTCTTTCTTAGTCACAAAAGGCAACTGTCTTATGATTGGGACTTTCTCATTCACACTTCCTCACACATTCCATAGGTTACATACATATTCATAAGCATGAATATAATTAATTCTATTAAAGTAATATGACTTCATCAGATATTTAACATTATAGGAATTTCCAACATAACAGGAACTTATGTAAACTGCATTTGTTTAACATAACAAGTTTTGTTCAAACTGCAGCTGAAAGAGCAGATGCAGAGGGGAGGAGGGGAAATAGAGAATGGTCATGTCCAGCTGGCTATGGGACCCATGTCCGGCTGGCTACAAACCTTATGTATCTGGAAAAAAGGGCCTTCACAGCAATTCAGTTAATATTCTGATTCATTTATTTTTGAATGCAGATCATCTACTATATTACTTGTCTCAGAAGATTAGTGGTGTAATGAATGATCAGGGACTATGAGTAATATTAACATTCTGTGAGTTAGAATAGTATTTTCATACCTCATCTTATATACTGGAAACATATAGCAACTTATTCTACCATGTGCAATAGCTAGAGACCCCATTGTTACTATGAAATGGAAAGCAGAAGGGAGTAACTTTGCAGTGCATCCTGTGATGAGATTCCTTCCCCCCAGGGTACAACGAGGGATAAGGCCAACTGATGGAGAGGGCAAAGGGGGCAACTATACTGGTACCCAGTGATTCAAAAGGGCCCAGGGCTCCTGGCTGCTGCTGTTGGGTGGCAATGAAAGGCTGGTGGGTGGAGGCTAGCCCCCACCCTGCCCCTTCCACTTGAGGCCCCACCCTTCCAGAAGCATGGAGCTTCTGTCGGCCCCCTACATGGGACTCTGGGGCTGTTGCTTCCCTTTATCTATCTCCAGCCTGAGCTGCCTCTCACAGTGCCTTGCTAGAGACTAGCAGCAACCCCTCCAAGTACTGTTATCACCAAGTACAACTGCATGTGGAGTCAGTCAGATTGCATGAAAGCTCCCAGAGCCACTCAGGAATCTCTCAGAATAAAGTACCAGCTAAATCTCTCCTCCCTAGATCCTAGTACCGTGCCTCAGGAATGTACCACCTAATCCATTAATTGGTTCACCACTTCTTCAATAGAAAGTGGATATTCTCCAGCTTTTATAAAACCTGAGCAGATTTTATACAAACTCACTAAAAAAGATAAACAGTAAAACTGGTGACTATGAGTGTTAGGCAAAGAGTCAGAGTAGTTACCAACATAAAATAAAATATAAACATACAGACTAATCTCCCAACCCTATTATACTGAGCAGCAACTACCAGTTCTTCTCACCCTACTGGATGTTGCAGTCCATATTGCACAGATTTCACTCTTGAAATCTGAGCCAGTCGCCTGAAATTGAATCTTTCGAGTGTTCCTGTTGCTTGCATCATGGTGAGTGAGGGAGGAAGGCCAAGTATGGGCCCCTGCATTTGGTTTTTGTACCTTGGAAAGCACATGTGGAGGCATGTGTGAGGGCATTGCTGATTTTCCAGGCAAAGCTGACCCCACCAGTTCCCCTGGTGTGGTGTCATGCAGGTGAGTCATTGCATTATAGCTCCCTTGGTGGACTTATGGCCATTGACACCCAACCCAAGCATTGGTTACTCTTCTTGCTGGGAAGCTAATATCTGGCTGATCCCCCAACTCAAAATACGTTTCAGTGACAACCATACAACATAATTCCCATCATTTCCTATGTGTTAATGATACACAGATATGGATAGAAAGATGACTTTCAGCAGGTCATAATCTTTCCCCAGTGCCTCATAAGGCATGTTTTATATGTCAGATTAGAATTGTATAAAAATTAGGAATATGGGAATTAGGAGTGCGCCAAGACATAAAATATCACAACGTAACCTTCACCCTCAGGTTTTTGGTGATCATCAGGGATCCCAGAAATCCATTTGCTTCAGAAAAATGCAAAAAGACCCAGGATTTGAAGTTTTATAGAGAATCTTCCATTTTTACATTTTGTGAAAAAATAAAAATATATTCAGTAGAACCCCATGTATCCCAGTCTCCATTGTGCTGCTGTCTGTATTCACTGAACCAGGGCTGGCAGCCCACGCTTTGGATAGTGAGACGCCCATTGACAGTCAAAGGCAGCAAGTCTCAGGCCTCGGCTGAAGCTGTCTGGATCTGACAGCAAAGGGCACTCCAGCAAATTTGGAATTATTTTTGTGCTCAGCACCAGTGTAATGAAAGATGAAAATGTGTCCGGAATGCGCCAATTCCATTTTAATAACCAGGACTAACTTAGAATGTGAATAATGTTAATATAAAAGTAATTTTCACATTATTTTTGAGTATTTAAAAATAAACAATTTTCTGAAAATATAGAATATATACAGAAATATTTGGTGTATATAAGAAATACAAATTGTAATTCCATTAATTTTATAACGATGGGTGTCCTTAGTGGGCTTCAACCTTTTAAAATTGTAAATATATCAAAACATTGTATTCAACTGATACCTACTTATATTGTGGCAAGGGAAAATAAATTCAGTGTTTCATTGTAATCACAGAAAAACACAGATTTTTTTTCATTGTAGAATTTTTGGGCTTTTTTCTTATAGAAAACTAGGATTTCTGGTGACTATGAGGTATCATGTAGCTAAGTATAATAAAAGCTTTCCTATTGATGCATCATCTAATGAAATGGAGAACTGGTTATATATTGATAACATTTGATTGTTGGTGGCAACAAGAGGTCTTCGGAGGGCTGGCAGCTGTTGTCACATAACTCTCTCTGACAAAATGTAATTTAAGTTTCCTCCATAAAAAGATAAATGTTTAGGATAGAGCTCGTAAGCATCAGGTAGAGTATAACCAATTTAGTAGTGAAAATTAGAGAATCCATAATCAATGCCCCACTAGACAAAAATTCCTTAATTGTCTCAGGGAATTTTTTTTATTAAATATAATTATGGTCTTTTTCTTCCCTCAATTTTCCAAAATTTTCTTTTTTATTGGAGCATAAGGCATGTGCCGTTTACACAGCCCCATCTTCTCAAAGCCTGGAGATAGACTTGTCTACTAGATGAATCTTTCTCTTACAGAAACCCAGTCTGTACTGCCACTTTGATTGATGTTGACAGGACTGATTCCCTCTAGGTGTGCAAAACGAGCTCCTGAAATACTTGTTACATCTACTTTAATACATCCTTATATTTATAAAAAATATAGAACCTATAGTATATTTTTCACAGGAGTTCATTCATATTGCCATTTGGTATCCTCTTATACCAAGAATCAAAAGTAGGTTAATCAATACATCCTCATCACAGTGATTTCCAAATCTCTAGCCAAAATCTTTATAAATACACCAGAGAAAAATTTGAATGCCTGAGTTGTATATGCAAGTTCTGCAGCCTCTTCCCCACATACCATGTGAGAAAATCCTCTAGCAACAGATACTGTGGCCAACAATTATAATGATGATATTTAGATCACGGCCCCCAGGTGAAGAAACAAAAAATGGTGATAGAATCAGGAAAGAGAAACCAAACATATTTTCTCCTCTGGTAGGACAGAGTACATATT